CCTGTTCTACAGAGTGAGTGAGTGTAGTTTGTATGATCTACCCCTGTTCTACAGAGTGAGTGAGTGGAGTTTGTATGATCTCCCCCTGTGAGCCGAAACACACTCACAGGCAAAAAGAGTCACAGACATACACAGAAACCCACAGACACCTACACACACACAGAGACACACACACAGAGGACACACACACACAGAGACATGGTCTCCGGAGGAGCTCACCGATGGGAACTTTGCCCAGATATTTCAAGGATTTGTGAGCTCCTCACACAATCCAACCTGGTTAAACCCAGGATGGATCGTAGGCAGGCCAGCCTAAATGTTTCCAACCGGGAGAGACACACACACAGAGACACACACACACAGACACAAACACAAAGACACACACACAGAGAGAGGCACACACAGAGACACACACAGATACACACAGAGACACACACACACAGAGAGACACACATACACAGAGACACACACAGACACACACAGAGACACACACACACAGAGACACAGAGACACACATAGAGACACACACACACAGAAACACACACACACAGAGACACACACAGATACACACAGAGACACACAGAGAGAGGACACACACACAGAGACACAGAGACACACACACACATATACAGAGAGACACACACACATACACAGAGAGACACACACACAGAGACACACACACACACACACAGAGAAACACACACAGAGACGTAGGCATATGCACAATCTCGTGACACTCACTCTCCCTCAAGGGCACGACCTCAAGCGCGACCCAGGGTGAGGACAGCGGTGGTGAGGACGAGACGGAGAATCTCACGCGGAGGAGATAGCGGCCACCGGCATCGTCCAGCGCTGAAGAGACGTCGCAGCACGTGTCTTTGGTGGCAGCACAGACGGTCTGCCAGAGGGCGCGTCTGAAGCTGCGCAGACAGAGACACAGGGAGCAGTGGTGAGGGTGGTGAGGAGAGAGTGGGTGAGTGGGTTGGTGGGTGGGTGGGTTGGTGAGTGAGTGAGTGGGTTGGTGGGTGAGTGGGTTGGTGGGTGAGTGAGTGGGTTGGTGAGTGAGTGAATTAATGAGTGAGTGGCTGAGTGAGTGGCTGAGTGAGTGGCTGAGTGAGTGAGTGGCTGAGTGAGTGAGTGGGTTGGTAGGTGAGTGGGTTGGTGGGTGAGTGAGTGGCTGAGTGAGTGAGTGGGTTGGTGAGTGAGTGGGTTGGTGAGTGTGGTGAGTGGGTTAGTGGGTGGGTGAGTGGGTTGGTGAGTAAGTGGGTCGGTGAGTGAGTGGGTGAGTGAGTGGGTGAGTGGGTTGGTGGGTGAGTGGGTTCGTGAGTGGGTTGACGAGTGAGTGAATTAATGGGTGAGTGCCTGAGTGAGTGGCTGAGTGAGTGAGTGGCTGAGTGAGTGGGTTGGCGGGTGAGTGAGTGGGTTGGTTGGTGAGTGGGTTGGTGAGTGAGTGGGTTGGTTGGTGAGCGAGTGGGTTGGTGAGTGAGTGACTTAATGGGTGAGTGGCTGAGTGAGTGAGTGAGCATCTCACAGTTTGCTCTGAACTCTGTAGGTGACATTCAGGAACGTTGAGTTGGTGGTGGTGGTGGAGTTGATGCTTGAAGGGTCAACAGGTGGGGGTCTCTCTCCTCCACCCCCCACAGGAGCCACTTCAACGGGGTCCCAGCAAAGCGTCGCCAGGAGGTCTGAGACTCCAAACGCACATTCAGTAGATACGGCGCAACTGGGCAGATGGGAAAACAACACTCACACACAGTGCGCTAACCACTGCACCACCACTCACACAGTGCGCTAACCACTGCACCACCACTCCCCCCACACACACACAGTGCGCTAACCACTGCACCACCACTCACTCACACACAGTGCGCTAACCAGTGCACCACCACTCCCCACACACACAGTGCGCTAACCACTGCACCACCACTCCCCCCACACACACAGTGCGCTAACCACTGCACCACCACTCACACACAGTGCGCTAACCACTGCACCACCACTCCCCACACACACACAGTGCGCTAACCACTGCACCACCACTCCCCACACACACACAGTGCGCTAACCACTGCACCACCACTCCCCACACACACACAGTGCGCTAACCACTGCACCACCACTCCCCACACACACACAGTGCGCTAACCACTGCACCACCACTCACCGTGGCTGCACGTGGCGAGGTGGAGGAAGAGGAGGTCACGTGTGGAGAGTTTCCACGTCGCCATTAACACCACGTGACCTCTGACCCGAAGTCACGTGCAGAGAAAATCGATACGCGCGTCTCATTGGTCCTCCTCCGTGGGGGCCACGCCCCCTCGAGAATTTTCCGCTCTTCCGATTGGTCCGCCGTGGGGGTGACGTCGCCACACAACAAAATCCCCCCCCCACCCCTCCATTGCCACGTAAGCCAATCGGCGAACTCCCCACTGGGTGATGACGTCATGCACGCGCATCCTGTAGCCAATGAGCGCGTCCGCGTAGGGACGGATGACGTCATGTGACTCGAGAGGGGGAGGGGCTACACAAGTCGAGGCCGAGACGCTGTAGCAGCTGCTGCTGTAGCTACAGCTGTTACTGCTGCTGCTGCTGTTGCTGCTGCTGCTGTTGCTGCTGCTGCTGTTGCTGCTGCTGCTGTTGCTGCTGCTGCTGTTGCTGCTGCTGCTGTTGCTGCTGCTGCTGTTGCTGCTGCTGCTGTTGCTGCTGCTGCTGTTGCTGCTGCTGCTGCTGCTGCTGCTGCTGCTGTTGCTGCTGCTGCTGCTACTACAGCTGCTGCTGCGTTGCCTGCCGACAGCAGCGACCTGTTGTGAGCATTGCGAGCCCCGCTGCCGTGAAGTTGCGGGGAAAGTATCTGAAGGTGAGTGGGTGGTCCTCCCCTACCTCCCTCCACCACCAGCACCACTCCTCTTTTAAAGGAATAATTGCATCTGCGACGATTGGAGTGGTGAGGGTGAGTGGTGAGGGTGAGTGGTGAGCGTGATTGGTGAGGGTGATTGGTGAGGGTGAGTGGTGAGGGTGAGTGGTGAGCGTGATTGGTGAGGGTGAGTGGTGAGGGTTAGTGGTGAGGGTTAGTGGTGAGAGAGTGGTGAGGGTGAGTGGTGAGGGTTAGTGGTGAGGGTTAGTGGTGAGAGAGTGGTTAGTGGTGAGAGTGAGTGGTGAGGGGTGAGTGGTGAGGGTGAGTGGTGAGGGTGAGTGGTGAGGGTGAGTGGTGAGCGTGAGTGGTGAGCGTGAGTGGTGAGGGTGAGTGGTGGGTGGTGAGGGTGAGTGGTGAGAGAGTGGTGAGGGTGAGTGGTGGGTGGTGAGGGTGAGTGGTGAGAGAGTGGTGAGGGGTGAGGGTGAGTGGTGAGGGTGAGTTGTGAGTGAGCTCCAAGATTAGTAAACAAAAAATCTCGACAAATAAAATAGAATAATAATAATAATGATGATGATCAACCCGTGCTTGTTAAAGTTCAACGCGTTCACTACGATATTTAATTATCTCTCGTTGAAATAATCCGCCAAATTGAGTCGTTAATTAGGTCAGCTGTTAATTAGTAGCGGGCCAATTAAGACGTCGTTAATTATGTCAGCTGTTAATTAGCCTGAGGGGTTGACCTGAGGCCAATTAATTAAGCAACGTGCTCATTCAATTACAAATCGCGTGTATCACGTGAGTTGACTCGGGTTTTATTTGATTTTTTAAAAATGCAATTGTGTTTAATTTAAGGACAGTGCATACATTAATTCTAGATTTAAAGCTTTCGTGACTGCAGGGATTCATCTTCTTGGTTCTTTCGGTAAAGTCATCACGTAGAAGGGAAGTAATACAATAAAACATAATAAAATCATATTTTATTATGTTTTATTTTTATTATTTTATTATTTCCCTTCTACGTGACTTTACTGAAAGAACCAAGAAGATGAACCTCTTAGTATCGTTGGAGATTGTCATTTATTTAGCTAAGAGTGAGTGGCAAGCTCGACTGGCCACGATGATTCATAGATGTTTGCCTTTTGCTCATTTAACTCTGAGTAACGTTACCTGTGATTGCTTTTTAAATCCTTTATATTAAGTTCACTTGCTTGCGCGCTTACGACCGTGCAAATCTTTCGGTCGTTTTTTAACCCACTTCCCGTGATCCAATCGAGCTGACATTTTGCACACAGACTCGTTGTGCGTGACAATTTATTTTCGTGAAATTTTTTTTCCAAAATTTTCAACTTTTTAGGAATTTTTTTTTTCATATTTAATTTAAAATACCAATGTGATAAAAATGAAACTCTTACTCAAGAAAAACAGAAATGAATAATAAAATAAAACCGATGCCACGCATATAAAGGATTTATAGTGAAAAACTTTGTTTTTACGGGTTAATTTTTTTCAAATTTTCTTGCCGTGGATTTCACACCTGATGATGATTGCTTGTGTTGCAGTCGAAACGCCGTGAGAATTTTAATCGGATCGCTAATGCCTCTGATGATGACAGTTGCTGTGAGAGTTGTATTTACCTAGCTACAATGCCACTGGTCAGTCTAGTGAATGGGTGGCACAGATGCTAATGCAACAGCAATGCCATTTCGAGGGTGTGGAGTTTATCCTGTTGTGTACGAAACTTGAGAACCCTAGCTACATACAATGTCTGCTGCCAGTTTTATAGGGCTGAACATTGAAAATGTCTAAGTGTACAATTATTGCGATTACCATGTCTCTATAGTCGTGGTTGAAGAGACATTGTAATGTTTTAAAACTATTTTATCTTTTCCTGTAATTTCTTGAAATTCTCTTTTGGTTGGTTAAGTAAAGACATGCCTTACAATGGCTGCCCATAAAAAAATAGTGTTAATGCATTTGTTTTCTGGCCATTTGTTTTAGTGGCCAGGTACTGGGCCGATTCTGCTGCGAGACAAGAGTGTGTGCTTCGCCGGGGAGAGATGTAAAAATGTAGGTGAAAAAATGAAATAAAAATTAATAAAAATAAAATAATAAAAATCACGACGTTTCGGAAGCAACACAAGCTTCCGTCTTCAGGTGAAACTGTCACAGCCAAATATCTGTATCACCTGAAGACGGAAGCTTGTGTTGCTTCCGAAACGTTGTGATTTTTCTCTTCTTCTTGGTTCTTTCGGTAAAGTCATCACGTAGAAGGGAAGTAATAAAATAATAAAAATAAAACATAAAATAATTCTCACGACGTTTCGGCCACAACGCAAGCAGCCGTCCTCAGGTGAAAACCAGGTCTGTCGGGGAGACAGCGTCTGAATGAAACAGCACACGAGCTTGGAGCATATATATATAAGCTGGGTTGGGAGGGGGGGGAAAAGGCGCTTCGACAAAATAATTTGCATATCAAGAGGAATTTAGCATATTTATGGGAAATGCAGGTATGTGATTAGTACTACTTGTGCCCGTGCATTATGCAGGATTAGCAGCATCCAAGGGAGGGGATATGGGAAATGCAGGAATGTGATTAGTACTACTTATGCCCGGGCATTATGCAGGATTAGCAGCATCAAAGGGAGGGGATATGGGAAATGCAGGTATGTGAATAGTACTAATTATGCCCGGGCATTATGCAGGATTTGTGATTTTTATTCTTTTATTTTAATTTCATTTTTTACCTACGTGACTTTACCGAGTATGAATCCTTGCAGTCGCGAAAGCTTCAAATCTCGAAGATATCAAAATGGACGAGCAGTGCATGCATCAGGACGGTGAGGAGCTGCAACAGCAGCAGCAGTCTCCAAACAATTGGAAGGCTCCTTCACACACCAGGCAGAATGCAGCTCAGTCTGTGCGACAGTATCCTCCTGCCTTGGCAGAGGCAGCAACCCAGACTTGTCAGTCTCCACAGGCTCAGCCAGTTAAGCACACCCCACAAGTGCCTAAGGTGTCTTCTGGCAGCAGTCAGCGAGCGAGTGGAGAGGCGGCTTCTGATCCAAGCTCCCAAGGTGATCACTTTGACTGCCCCTTGTTCACACACACGTGCTGTCTAGCTATTAAGACATATTTGAGGTGTTTGTAAATTATATAATTTCACTAATAGGGGTTTTCCCCTTTTTTATGGCAACAAAACTGACACCTTTTGCAAGGAATCATGCTTACATTAACCACAATACCTGCAGTCAAATGCAAACAATAAACACAACTCTGATAATGTATGCATTGTCTTTGAAACTGATTGGTCCACACCAGAGACAGCTTTCTTTAGAGTCTCGTCTCATATGGTTTTCGACCAGATGACGCCAAGTATTGTGGTTATTGTAAGCATGATTCCTTGCAAAAGGTGTCAGTTTTGTTGCCAGAAAAAAGGTGAAAACCCCTATGAGTATATTTTGGTACTGGCAAAGGAGGTCCCATGATGACGCCTTTTGGCGTCATCTGGTCGAACACCATATGAGACTAAGCTCTAAAGAAAGCTGTCTCTGGTGTGGACCAATCCGTTTCAAAGACAATGCATAAATTATCAGAGTTGTGTTTTTTGTTTGCATTTGACTGCAGGTATTGTGGTTAATGTAAGCATGATTCGTTACAAAAGGTGTCAGTTTTGTTGCCAGAAAAAAAAAAGGGGAAAAAACCCTATTGGTATATTTTGCTACTGGCAAAGGAGGTCCCATGATGACATCATTTCAATGTATTATTCTGAAAGAAATTGTCCCTGCGTGTACTCGCCTTACCTGTCCGCTTTTTGCCACTTAACCAAATCCTCAGGCTGCGTGAAAGTGGTGTACGACATGCTGATGACTGCAAGCAACTGCGGCAGCAATTGGCCATCCGACCAAGAAGACATATTTCGCCTCCTCGTAAGTTACCTGCTTTCGTTTAAATTCCTCGCAATAACATGTCACAATAAGCATTTGATGTTTTAAAGAATTTGCTCTGCGGTCTGTATGTATGTAGGTGCACGGGAGAGAACATTTTGAAATATTAAAGAAAATCAAGGAAAACCTGGAGCTGATCCGAACGCTGCCCACGGATGTCAATGTGTTGCGCAACCTGCAGCAACAACAGTACGTGAACACGAAATAGACAATCGCTGCTCGTACGAGAGAAGTTCCCGATTGCTGCTGTAATTAAATGGTAGCAACAGAAGGGAAGTAATAAAAAGATAAAAAGAAAAATAATAAAATAATTCTCACGACGTTTCGGCCACAACGCAAGCAGCCGTCCTCAGGTGAAAACCAGGTCTGTCGAGGCGACAGCGTCTGAATGAAACAGCACACGCGCTTGGAGCATGTATATACGCTGGGTTGGAAGGGGGGGGAAGGGCGCCTTGACAAAATAATTTGCACATCAAGAGGGTTAATTTTTTGGGTTTTTTCTCCCTCCCAGATACGTGACGGAATTGCGTGGAAGGCCGTTCAACCTCAGCCGACACGGCAGCGAGTGTTCACAGGAAGTCTTGGCCGGCAGCCAGGGACCCTCCAGTGCCGGCGAAGGTTCCTCATCAGGTGACGCAAGCTCTCCCTGCTCGGCACAGCACATTTCTCTGCACGGAACGTGGCGGCACGCGGTAGAATTGAAAGACGTGACACAATTTGCCACAAAGTGATACGCAGTCTTCTTGGTTCTTTCGGTAGTCGTCACGTAGAAGGGAAGTAATAAAATAATACAAATTAAACATTAAATAATTCTCACGACGTTTCGGCCACAACGCAAGCAGCCGTCCTCAGGTGAAGAACAGGTCTGTCAGACGCTGTCTTTCCGACAGCTCTGTTCTCCACCTGAAGACGGCTGCTTGCGTTGTGGCCGAAACGTCGTTAGAATTATTTTATGATGTTTTATTATTTTATTACTTCCCTTCTACGTGATGACTTTACCGAAAGAACCAAGAGGATGAATTCAATATTACTCGTATATGTCTTGAGGTGTAAATGGTTTTATTGCGAATGCTCATCCACTGGTTGCAGGCGTTGCACAGGATGTTGTGACGGGTGAAGCGAGTGGATCCAATGGTCCCCCACGGCCACCGGACGGAGACAACCCACGGGCCCGGCTTGGAACCCTGCCGGACAGCGGCAAGCCTGGCAACGCTCTTTACAAGTAAGTGCCCTTTAGGTGCATCATCGTCGCCACCTTTAAACATCGTCGTCATTTTTCGATTTAAAGCTTTCGTGACTGCAGGGATTCATCTTCTTGGTTCTTTCGGTAAAGTCACCACGTAGAAGAGAAGTAATAGAATAATAAATATAAAACATAATAAAATAATATAATATACATGATAAAATAATTCTCACGACGTTTCAGCCACAACGCAAGCAGCCGTAACGTCGTGAGAATTATTTTATTATGTTTTATTTTTATTATTTTATTACTTCCCTTCTACGTGACTTTACCGAAAGAACCAAGAAGATGAATCCCTGCAGTCACGAAAGCTTTAAATCGAAACGCAAAGTTCGTAATGCAGTTTGGGCTGATTTTTGCACTTGGATTTCCAATAAAAAATGTCATTATTTTCCATAGGGATATACAGTACAAGCAATGTAAGTGTTGCTTCACATGTTATTTCTAATCGCAATGTTGACGGAGTAAAAATGTGCAAGTTAATGTAATACAGCCGTACAAAGTACTTGTTCGTGCTTCTTGTATTTGGTATTAACATTTTGGAGCCTTGTGTGTTGTTGTTTTTTTCGTGTCTCAAGCTTCCTGAAACAAATCGACTGCTTGGAGTTTTTGGAGAATTTCACTTCACGTGGATTGTCGAGTGTCCAACAGCTGATGGACGTTACTCTACAGGCAAGTTCCTACGGACGCTTCCATGCAAACTACGCGTGTTTTTTAACGTTTACAGGATTGGGATTTATTTTTAAGTTGTGCAAGTTTTTCTGCAACATAAAAAATGCACAAAGAAGCTTGGAGAAGATGGAAGGTTGGAATTAAACTTGTAAAGAGTTAATACGTGTGTGGGTGAGTGGTGAGTGGTGAGGGTGAGTGGTGAGCGTGAGTGGTGAGGGAGAGGGGTGAGTGGTGAGGGAGAGGGGTGAGTGTGAGTGGTGAGGGTGAGTGGTGAGGGTGAGTGGTGAGTAGTGAGGATTGTCGTGCCACAAGAGGGGGCTCTGGGACCCTAGGCAGAGAAGCCCTTGGCGCCAGGCGCTAGGATCCCAGGCACCCCAGACAGTTAAACCCCTTGGCGCCACCAACGGGGGGGGGGGGGGGCTGTGTGCGCTCTGTGGGATATCTGGAGGCACACACAACCCCACCCCTCGTTGGGCACGAGGCATAAAAGGGCAGCTCCCTGGCCGATTGGGGCCAGTCGCAGGTCAAGACCCGCCAGCCAGCCAGCTTAGGACCCTGTACCCCCTCGTCCCGCTTGTCCTTGTAAGGGCCGGGGCGCTGTGAGGGCCAGTGGTGGGACTCTGGGACTCCCGGCTCTACGTCCTTGTGAGGGCGAGTTCCGAGGAAGCCAGAGTCCAGACCCGCACCTTGGCTGGGTCGGGTCAGGTAGCCTCCCCTAGGGTAGTTGTAGCCGGAGGACCCCAGAGCGTAGCCAGAGCAGTGTACCTAGGCTGTGTACCTAGGCTGTGTACCTAGGCTGTGTACCTAGGCTGTGTCGCTAGGCTGTGTATTTAGGCTGTGTACCTAGGCTGTGTCGCTAGGCTGTGTACCTAGGCTGTGTATCTAGGCTGTGTACCTAGGCTGTGTCGCTAGGCTGTGTACCTAGGCTGTGTACCTAGGCTGTGTACCTAGGCTGTGTACCTAGGCTGTGTACCTAGGCTGTGTATCTAGGCTGTGTACCTAGGCTGTAACAGAGTATCAGGACTGTTGGAGTGTTGTATTGTAATAAAGAAGTTACCTCTACAAGTGTCTCCGGAACCCATTACACGTGGATACCGAAACATGCAAATAAGAAACATTGACAACTGCAAAAAAGTAGATGGGCTTGGGCAAGGGCACATCACTGGACTGCATTGTGGCTGGGAAACAAGACCGGTGTTGGAGTGGCATCCAAAGTAGAGCACACATCACCAAGAGGATGACCACCACAGAGATTCGAGTTGTGAGAAGATTAGTTCGTGTGTCGTTGATAGATGGATCGTGGTCACATAGCTCGAGTGAGGAGACTGAGGAGTCCTGATCCAGTAGTGGGTACAAAAAAAACACATTCCTCCTGCGGAGGGAGTGGGTAGGAACGTTGGGTTGCTCGGTCAATGGCCAACTGTGAGGGCGGGCACAAGCCGTCGTGAGTAGGTTAAACGTTGAGTTTTATAAGGGCACCACGGGGTGACCAGCCCCTCCCCACCCAGCCCCACCCCACCCTCCCCACCCAGCCCCTCCCCACCCTCCCCTCCCCACCCAGCCCCTCCCCACCCTCCCCTCCCCACCCAGCCCCACCCCTCCCATTTTTGGATGCACGACGGACAGACACAATCATCCCCTGTGGGCTGGTGGAACCAGGTGGTTCCTACCAGTACTACCGACTGATTTTGTACATTACTCTGAGGAATACACGTCGTCAGAAATTTGAAGAATGTTGTATCGTACACTATGGGAACCTCATTTGCCAGTAAAAATATCATAATTGTTTTTTTACCCTTCTATCTGGCAACAAAATTGACACCTTTTTACAAGGAGTCATGTTTGTATAGACCACAATACTTGTCTCGGGTGTGGACCAATCAACTTCAGGGACAGTGCACATTATCAGAGTTATGTCTTTTGTTTGTATTATGACTGCAAGGTATTGCGGTCTATGCAAACATGACTCCTTGTAAAAAGGTGTCAGTTTTGTTGCCAGATAGAAGGGTAAAAAAACAATTATCAATGTTGTATCGCTGAACACAAGTTGGTGTGTGTGTGTGTGCATATTTTTTGTATTTCGCTGGATTTTAGGACTTGGATGAACTGGGAGTCCCAGAAGCCAAAAAGCGACTGCTATTGAGTGGAATCGAAGAGCATGGCGTGTCCACCACGATCTCCAGCGAGACGACGCTGCAGCGCTCGTCCAGTGAAGAGACAGTCCACCTCAGCTCCGAAGACGACGACGATGACGGCATCGACACCAAGGACGGCATCCGTGCCAAAGTGTTCCCAGCGCTGCGGCCCTCTGGCAGGAATCTGTCCTCTGTCGGCAATCGGTATCGCAAAAGCAGCATTGCCAAATACAATTTGCGAGCGCACGCTCGCCAAGCCGTTGCCCTTCCTCGTGCTGGCAGCTGGGGAGGCAGTAGCAGCCTGGAGGTGCCCAGGAGTAAGATGCCAAAATTGTCTTCATGCTCTGACATCGAAGAAGAAGAAGAGGGGCTGGAGTGAGGAGAGGAGGGGGGGTAGCGATAGATGGATGATGGTGGGAGGTTGTGTGGGCCGTGGGATGCACTTTGTATGAAAAGCCCTTGGGGTAAATAAGCTGGTGTCTTTTGATTTAAAGCTTTCGTGACTGCAGGGATTCATCTTCTTGGTTCTTTCAGTAAAGTCACGGTCGACAGACCTGTTCTCCACCTGAGGACGGCTGCTTGCGTTGTGGCCGAAACGTCGTGAGAATTATTTTATGATGTTTTATTTGTATTATTTTATTATTTCCCTTCTACGTGACTTTACCGAAAGAACGACGTTTCGGCCAGAACACAAGCAGCCGTCCTCAGGTGAAGAACAGGTCTGTCGAGAAGACAGAGTCTGTTTTTATTTATTATTATTTTATTTCCATTCTACGTGACTTTACCGAAAGAACCAAGAAGATGAATCCCTGCAGTCACGAAAGCTTTAAATCGAAATTCCTTTGAGCTTGCTTGCATAGTTTTTTTTTTTACAGAATGCAGTCAATAAAATATAAAGCAGCATCTTGGCTTTACTACCCAAGGCAGGAACTTGTCTCTTCCAAGAAAGAAGTGACTGACTTGTCAGTTTTGTTCCTTCTTAATTTTGGAGCTTTCGTGACTGCAGGAATTATTCTTTGTTTTTTTCGGTAAAGTCACGCCTAAAGATAAAACGTGCCGTTTAAGTCATCTGGAGTTGAAATATACAACACGTTTTGTTTCCATGCAGAGGAGATAGCCATGTTCAGAGCAATGTGCTTTTTTGTTGTGTTGCATTTGCTCGACTGTTCAAAGATCGTTTCAAATCTGCATCTTTTGGAAGGATGAACACGAAGTGGGAAGGTTTTTGCAAAATCAGATGTTCTCATACTCCAGAAGATTGTTGTACGGGGCCTGTCTGCTCTAACCTACTTGATAACAACCCCAAAAATGCCTAAATAAAGTTGATTTGTGACATGTTCCATTCTGCAAAGTTTTATAGACTTTGCTGCTGGTAGCAGATGTAGAGAGAACAACACCTGTCTACACTTCGTGTTCATGGAACTGTCTTAAGCGTATATATGCAGTGGGTTTTTTTAAATCCTTTATATTAAGTTCACTTGCTTGCTTGCTTAGGACCGTGCAAATGTTTTGGTCGTTTTTTAACCCACTTCCCGTCATCCAATCGAGCTGACATTTTGCACACAGACTCGTTGTGCGAGACAATTTATTTTCGTGAAAACATTTTGTTCCAAAATTTTACACTGTTTAGGAATTTTTTAAAATATTTAATTACCAATTGCTTAATGCTGCCAGACAATCATCTTACCCATAGGTGGCAGCCATCTCAAGCCAGAGGACGAGCGGACTCTAGCCGCCATGCATATAAAGGATTTATAGTGAAAAACTTTGTTTTTACGAGTTAATTTTTGTTACAGGTAGGAACAACAGTTCCCCACTGCCCACCAGGGATTATTTGTCTGTCGTGCATAGCCCCTCCCACCGTGTAGCACGCTCCCGGATTGGTTGAAGTGCGTCACGTGACCGCGAGCTTTCTGCCCCACCAAGTTCCTAGCTGGCCACTGTGAAGGAACGTGATTGTGCTGTGGATTCAGAAACCCGAGTTTGAGGGTGACGTCCGAACTGCTGATTGTTTGGGCGCTGACCACTGGTGAAGTACCCGTCTGGTCACTGCCTGCATCTTGGAGTGGATTGAAAAAGGGCTGTTGATATTCTTGAGCTTTGATTAAAAGCCAAAAACCTTTAAAGTACAATTTCAGAAATTGTTTTTCTGGATAAACCACTCGGAAAAAATATATCCAATGTTTGAGTTTGCATACGGAGCCCAAAACCACCTGTACGTTTTGCAATGTGCTTTATATTTTGTAGCAATCACTGCCTTTCATGTAAACTGGTACCAGGTGCATACAGCGCATGAGAACGTTCAATTCGAATGTGCAATTCCCTGGAATAGCTACAGTATTGATTTGTTTAAACAAGTTTTGACAATAAAAAAAACTCTCTTTGAACCGTTAACACGATCTTTTCTGACGGTGTTTTTTAATCCAATGTGGCGCGATAGAAATATTTTATTTGCCTTCGTACACGGGTCGATATTGACGGAGCACAGGCGAGTATCACTTTGACGCTGTGGTGGATTGAGCGCAGATATTTGCGTCAGGGGTAGCTGAGCGAATCGCCGTGTGGTAATGATGCCTCCAGGTGTGTCAACCGGGATGTTCTGTTCTGGATCGCAAACAACAAAGTACCTAACACTCACACACACACAGACTCCTACACACAACGACCTACACACACACACACCTACACACTCACACAGCTACACACACCTAACACTCACACAGCACCTAACACACACACCTAACACTCACACACACCTAACACACACACACAGACTCCTACACACACCTAACACTCACTCACACACACCTAACAATCACACACACCTAACACTCACACACACCTAACACTCACACACAGACTCCTACACACACCTAACACACACACCTAAGACTCACACACACAGACTCCTACACACACCTAACACTCACACACACCCTAACACTCACACACAGCCTAACACTCAACACACACCTAACACTCCACACACCCTACACACTCACACACAACCTAACACTCACACACACCTAACACTCACACACACCTAACACTCACACACACACACACACCTAACACTCACACACACCTACACTCACACACACCTAACACTCACACACACCTACACTCACACACACCTAACAACACACCTAACACTCACACCCCTAACACTCACACACCCTAACACTCACACACACCTAACACTCACACCTACACTCACACCTAACACTCACACACACCTAACACTCACACACACCTAACACACACACACCTAACACTCACACCTAACACTCACTCACACCTAACACTCACACACACCTAACACTCACACACACCTAACACTCACACACACCTAACACTCACACACACCTAACACTCACACACACCTAACACTCACACCCACCTAACACACACACACCACTAACACTCACACACACCTAACACTCACACACCCTAACACTCACACACCTAACACTCACACACACCTAACACTCACACACACACTAACACACACACCTAACACTCACACACACCTAACACTCACACACACCTAACACTCACACACACCTAACACTCACACACACACCTACACACACACACCTAACACTCACACACACCTAACACTCACACACACCTAACACACACACACACCTAACACTCACACACAACCTAACCTCAACTCACACCTAACACTCACACACTAACACTCACCCCCACTAACACCACACACACCTAACACTCACACACCCTAACACCACCACACCTAACACCACACACACCTACACACACACTCACACACCTAACACTCACACACACACCTACCCTCACACACACCTAACACTCACAACACCTACACTCACACACCCTAACACTCACACACACACTCAACACAACACCTAACACTCCACACACCTAACATAACACACACCTAACACTCACACACAACTAACACTCACACACACCTAACACACACCACACTCACACACACCTAACACCACACACACCTAACACTCACACACACCTACACTCACACACACCCTAACACACACACTAACCCACACACACCTAACACTCCACAGCACACCAGACTCCTACACACACCTAACACTCACACACACCTAACACTCACACACACCACAGCTCCAACACACACATAACACTCACACAACACCTAACACGCACACCACACACCTAACACTCACACACCCCTAACACTCACACACCTAACACTCACACACCCTACACTACACCTACACACACACACCTAACACTCCTACACACACCTAACACTCACACACACCTAACACTCACACACACCTAACACACACACACACCTAACACTCACACACACCTAACACTCACTCACACCTAACACTCACACACCTAACACTCACACACACCTAACACTCACACACACCTAACACTCACACACACACCTAACACACACACACACCTAACACACACACTCACACACACCTAACACTCACACACACCCCTAACACTCACACACCTAACACTCACACACACCTAACACTCACACACACCTAACACTCACACACACCTAACACTCACACACACCTAACACTCACACACACCTAACACACACCTAACACTCACACACACCTAACACTCACACACACCTAACACTCACACACACCTAACACACACACCTAACACTCACACACACCTAACACTCACACACACCTAACACTCACACACACCTAACACTCACACACACCTAACACTCACACACACCTAACACTCACACAGGTGACTGATGGATGAGGGTGAGCGGCGCTTTGTAAACTCGCCTTCATCGTCTCCCTCGCCGACTCGCCGAGTGTTTGTGTTGTTGTTGTTGGAAACGTCCCGACGTCAGATTGAAGCTTGGACGGGCGAGCCAGGGGAAGTTCCAGCAGCGGAAGAAACTCGTCACGTTGCAGACACCGTGTGACGCGTACCACGTGACAGAGACGCCAACTCCCACGTGCCCTTGAATGCCCCTTCTCGGTTCAAGCGGCGCTCGTTCTGCACGCACAAAAGTGTGATTTTGATGATGAACGAACGAAGGAGCAACGAATAAACAAAACCCGGACGACGCCGTGGCAAATCGGAGTTCTTTCTGCTGCCAATTCTCGTCGGCATCTCTCGCGCAACGCGGACCGCACTGCTCGCGTTCCTCGTCCGTGCCGGCCACACGGTTGATATCGGCAATAACGACGGAGCGAGACACGGAGCGAGATAAAATAGCCGCCTCCTATAATTTACGCTTCAAATAAAAAACAAGTAGAACCCGTAAAAACAAAGTTTTTCACTATAAATCCTTTATATGCGTGGCGGCTAGAGTCCTCTCGTCCTCTGGCTTGAGATGGCTGCCACCTATGGGTCAGATGATTGCATTGCACCATTAAGCAATTGGTAATTAAATGTATTTTTGTCCTAAAAAGTGTGTGTCAGTGTGTGTGTCAGGCTGTGTGTCAGTGTGTGTGTCAGTGTGGCGAGGAGTGGTGGTGCAGCGGTTAGCGCGCTGCACTACGAACCTGGATCCCCGAGTTATATTCCCGCTCACGGCCAAAACCAGCGACGATTACCTGAACCGGCACTGCGCCTCCCCCGGGTCGACTCAGCCTCAAATGAGTACCTGGTGCGGTGTGTAAACATCGCCACTGGGGAGATAAAGGCGGCCGGGCGTGGTGCTGGCCTCCCACCCCCTCCTCCACCGTTCCGGCCTTATAGGTGCTCGCTAACAGCACTTGCCCCAACAGCCTGTGCAGGCTACACGGGTGATCTTTGTCTTTGTGTCTTTGGCGCGCGCCCTCGTTGCCTGCGTCCCCAGAGACACTGCCCCCTCCTCCACGATCGGCGTCGTATTGCGCCTTTTGGCGTCATCTGGTCCAACCCATGTGAGACTAGGCTCTAAGGAAAGCTGTCTCGGGTGTGGACCAATCAACTTCAAGGACCATGTGAGACTAGGCTCTAAGGAAAGCTGTCTCGGGTGTGGACCAATCAACTTCAAGGACAGTGCACATTATCAGAGTTGTGTTTTTTGTTTGTATTACGACTGCAGTTATTGTGGTTTATGCAAACATGACTCCTCGTAAAAAGGTGTCAGTTTTGTTGCCAGAAGGGTAAAAAAACAATTATCATATTTTTACTGGCAAATGAGGTTCCCATAGAATAAAATAATTGTTTCCCTTCTACGTGAGTTTACCGAAAGAACCAAGAATATGAATCCCTGCAGTCACGAAAGCTTTAAATCGAAATGTAGCTTGACGTAATGTGTTCCTGTCTATTGCGTTTAATAAACACAACGCACACACGCGTAGGAGACACCCGTGTCACTGTCATGCTATTGAAGGGACGTTTAATCTCTTAAACGTGAACACGAAAATCACCGACAGCAATAAACAATAAACAACCAATAACACTGGTCAACAAAATATAGATAAACGCATTGGCGATAGGGCAACACTCGGGCGGATAACGCATTGATGACACTGGTCAACACAAAAAAAAAATTCTGGCCTGGACTTTTGCAGCTGTTTTAGACATCTCATTTTGATGCTATCGGCATTCCCCATTTTCATTGATTTTACCCGAAATTAACTCTGTCACTTATGATTGCAAGTCGTTGCGAGTCAGTGACTGCTTTAGTGTTACAATACGGTGCTGTATGTTTAGGATAGTGCGTTCATGACCAGTGTTATAATCAACGGGCCGCTGACGACGTCCCCTCCTCTCTACAGTTCGGGAACCCGCCGTGGGAACGGGGAACTTGCGGCTCTCACGGCCACCAACCCCCCGTCGTCGTCGCGAGGCAGTCGCCAAACGAGACTCATGCTGAGGGGGGGCCCCCGGGGGGCCGAGCCCCCCCTCTGGCCGTCCCCGCTCTCCCGCGCTCTCCGCTCCCGAAGGGACTCGCCAGCCCCACGTCGCCCACGCCCCTCGTGACCCGCCGCAGCCGCTCCGTGACCCGGCTCCACCACCCCGAGCCCTCCCTCCCCCCCCCGTCCCGTCTCCCCCCCCCCTCCCCCCCGCGCTCCCCCGAACCTCCCACTGCAACCCCCCCCTGTGTGCGCGCAGCCCCTCTCCTCCTAGGTTCCTGGCGTTCTCCCTCGGCGTGTGCGTCTGGCGTCGAAACGCCCGCCTCTCCCACCGCTCTCGCGAGTCCCACGAGTGACGCCCCGTGTCCACCGCTCTCGCTCTCCCGGCGCACTCCGCCCCTCTCCCCCTCGCCGCCCCCCCCCCCCCAGCTCGCGCTCCGGGGCGCTCTCCGCCGCCGCTCTGCGGGGGGGCTCCCGCGGACGGCCTGGAGCGGCCCCCGAGGCCCGCGGACGGCCGTGCGAGCCGGTCCTCCGCCCTCCTGCCGCCTCCGCTGACGCCGCCGCGGCCGCCGCCGCCACCGCCGCCGGCTCGCTCCATGGCAGATCGCTGCGGCTTCTTGTCGTCGTTGCTGTTGCTGTTGAGGGTTGTGATGCAGCGAGAACAGCTCCCTGTATCATCACAACCACCACCAACCACCACCACCACCATCACCACCACCACCATCACCAACATCACCACCACCACCAACCATCACCATCATCACCACCATCATCACCATCACCACCATCACCAACCATCTCCACCATCACCACCATCACCACCATCACCACCACCATCACAACCATCACCAACCATCACCACCATCACCAACCATCACAACCATCACCACCACCATCACAACCATCACCAACCATCACCACCATCCCCAACCATCACCACCATCACCACCACCACCACCACCAACCATCACCACCACCATCACCACCATCACCACCACCACCACCAACCATCACCAACCATCACCACCATCACCACCACCATCACAACCATCACCACCATCACCACCATCACCAACCATCACCACCATCACCACCACCATCACCACTACCACCACCAACCATCACCACCATCACCACCATCACCACCACCAACCATCACCAACCATCACCAACCATCACCACCATCACCACCACCATCACCACTACCATCACAACCATCACCAACCATCACCACCATCACCACCACCATCACCACCACCATCACAACCATCACTACCACCATCACCACCACCAACCATCACCACCATCACCACCACCATCACCACCATCACTACCATCACCAACCATCACCTACACGGGGGACCTTTGTCTGTGTATAGCTACTAACAGCACTTGCCCCTACAGCCTGCTAGAGGCTACACGGGGCACCTTTGTCTGTGTATAGGTGCTACTAACAGCACTTGCCCCTACATCCTGCTAGAGGCTACACGGGGCACCTTTGTCTATGTACTTGATTTGACTCACGGGGGGGGGGGGGGGGGGTAGCAGCCCACCCCCAGCCGGCCAAGGTGCGACCTCGGCCGGCTGAGCAATCTAGCCGAGACCGGTGGCACTCCCCGGGACTAGGCCTTACCGCAGGGCTCACCGGCGCAACGCTGCGTCGACGTCTTGGGGAGGGGGTCTTGAGTGATTTTCTCCGTCGTTGTGAGCTCACACACTCAACAATGTCCTCGTGTGGAGTGCAGCAGCAGCAGGAGGAGGAGGTCCGACGTCGCGTGCCGACACCTCGGGCAGGAGGCTGCAGGCAGCTGCGATCTCGTGAGATTGGCAGGGCGCGTTTATAATACGTAGTGCGGATAGGCGACCACGTGACGCGAGTGCGACTCGGATTCCGTAGAACTGATAAGACTGCGCGCTGCGCCGTAGACTCAACACTGCGGCTCAGCCGACGTTTCAGGTCCCCTGGGGGACGTGCGAGTCACGTGGTGGGGTCTGTGACGTCACGGGGCACACGGCTGACTGGTCCACTCCTGCCAAGCTCGATAATATTTTTTAAATATTTTTTTATTTCTCGTCACATCTCTAACGTCTTCACAGGGGCTTCAAAACAGCAACATCGAGAGCGACAAGAGGTCAGGGCACTTCCAGGCTGGTTCACCAATGTGAAGATGTCACAGACACTAACGCTGGGAAGTAACATTTAAAATTTGATTTTAAAAAAATATTGCGCTTGGAGAATGCGGGAATCGATCCCACGTACTTGAAGAATAGGTCAGTAGGTGAATCGCTTGCTTTACCAACTGAGCTACTCTCCAAGGACGTGAGCGACGTCTCCTGGAGTTCTAATATCTTTCTTCTTTTCTTTCTTCTTTTTTTTCTTCTTTCTTCTTTTTTCTTCTTTCTTTTTATAAAAGTCTCCGTGCGCTCGCGCTTGCAGGGGATTTGGCTCTCGGACGGTGGGGTTTAAGACCGAAATAATTTGCCAGGCGGCACGCCCTAAGCCCCGTGGTGGGAACAGGCTATTCAGTTTTCCCGTCCGTAAACTTTAAAGTAGTTTAATTAACACATTTGTGCCGTTTCTATTATTCATTATTTACTTATTGCACGACATCGACCGTACCAAGTGACGGCAATTGCGTGGGGGGGGGGGCGGACCCTGCCAAGTCATGCGCGTTCGCTCCAGCTCACGGGAGACATTTTATTTCACGCGTTTTAGAGTCAACACGTACACACATCACGCTCACACATGACGCTGCGGATATTTATTCACAGTGTCATGTCCTCTTCGCCCCCCTCCCAACACGATGCGTCCACTTTATATTACAGACTCCGTAGATAATAATATTTTACTGCTTACATTACATTATTCTTGCACGGCCGGGGGATGCTTGGGGGGGGGGGTAGCGGCCCAGCCCCTCGCCTGGCAACGTGCCAACTCCGCCGCCTCGCCAATCTAGGCTAAGCATGGCACAAGGCCTCAACACGCCTATGGTAAGTACAGAGTTCCTTGCTTCTTACGCTAACAACTCAAGCCCATTGTTAACTATTGTTAAACACATTAGTTTACAAACATTACAATAATAATGTTTGTGTGCTGATAAAAACTCAGCTTCATTGTTTACCAATATGAAACAAGTTCAAAGATGTTACAATAATTATGTTTGCGTGAAGATAACAACTCGGGTTCATTGTTTACCATCATGAAACGAGTTGACATGTTACAATAATTATGTTTGTGTGCACAAAACTCTTTTTGGATTTTTGGGTTGCTCAATTTCCCCTTTTTTGCTGCGCTTTTGCTGTGTGTGCGAGTACATATGTGTGTGTTTACGTCAATGTGTATTTTAGTCCACGTATCGATGTGTGCGAGTCGGTGTGTGTGTGTGTGAGTCGCTGTGTGTGTGTACGTCCATATATGTGTGTGTAACTCCATGTGTGTATATCTCAAGTGGATGTCTGTGTGACAGTCGACATGTGTATGTGTGTGTACGGCAATGTGTGTATCACTCTATGTATGTGTCGCTGTATGTGTGTACGTCGATATGTGTGTGTAACTCCATGTGTGCGTATCTCAAGTACATGTCTATGTATGTGTGAGTCCATATGTGTGTGTCTGTAAGTCGATGTGTTTGTGTGTGTCAGTCCATATGTGTGTGTGTGTCTCAGTCCATGTGCGTGTGTGTTAGTCGCTGTGTGTGCATGCCTCCATGTTAGTCAGTGTAACTTCATTCATTTGCGTGTCTGTAGGTCCATGTGTGCATCTTAGTCCATGCGTGTGCTTTATTGACCTGCTCAAGGCCTATGATACCATCAGTAGGCCTGGCCTCTGGGTTGCTCTTCGTGCTTTCCGAGTCCCGAACCCACTCATCACCATCCTTAAGGACCTTCATGATGGTGTGCCTGTACCGCAAAAAATCCCATCTGCTACAGATACAATGGGAGGCTGATCGATGCCCGGGTGCGGTCAAGGGATGGATCCCTGTTGCTCAACCACGTTATGTATGCCGATGATCTGCTAATGGCTGCTCACTCCGAAGAGGAGTTCGAGGTGCTGCTGCTGAACCTGGAGCTTGCCACCAACAGGTGGGGCCTTACCATTAGCCCAACCAAAGCTAAGCACCTGCCTGGCTATTTTGTACCATCGGACACTCCACCCCCACAACTCCCAATTGGTGATGGGCCAGTTGTGGAGACAGTGGAGAGTTTCCCTGGGCAGTGTGCTAATGACCAGCTCCGGTTTAATAGCAGAGGTCTCACTACGAATCAGTCGAGCTGCAGTATCTTTAGATTGGCTGCATAATGCTGTGTGGAAGCTACCTGGTCTATCACTCCGTACGAAGCTTCAGGTGTTCTCGGCCACGGTCATTCCCTCCCTTCTCTACGCTTGCGAAACTTGGACCCCCCTAATGTAACATCTTCGCTGGTTAGAAACATTTAGGCTGGCCTGCCTGCGATCCATCCTGGCTTTAACCAGGCTGCATTGTGTGAGGAGCTCACAAATCCTTGAAAGATGTGGACAAAGTCCCATCGGTGACCTCCGGCAGGCAAGGCTGCGTTGCCTGAGTCATGTAGCTCGCATGGCCAGCCACTGCATGCCTAAACAGCTTTTGTTCCGCTGGATCCAGGGGGCTGGAGAAAAGATGGAGTTATTGGGTACAGGAGGAATTGGAGCTGAGTCCACTAGCAGATGACTGCTATCAGCCGTGTCAAGATGGGCCTCTGGAGAAGGCTCCTGAAGGACGCTACTGGGCAGTTGAAGGCAGTCACCCTCCAACAACAACCGAGGGCGGAGGAGCGATGCTCACAACAAGGAGCGGAGCGCCGCGTGGCTAAAGCACAGAAAGTTGCCACAGTAGGAGCCATAGGTGGTGCATCAACCAGTCGTCTCAGTCAGTCGACCTGTGCCATCTGGATTTGCCCCATCACCTCCGGCCAGCGAGCGTTCGACACTTCACGTGGCCTCAAGGTGCACATAGCCTGGCACAAGCGTTGTCGTGACGTCACCGCGACTTAGTGGCGAATGGCGGTTGTTGTTGTTGAGTCTATGTATATATGTGTGAGTCCATTTGTGCGTGTAACTCTATGTATCCGTGTCAGTCGATTTGCGTATGTAACTACATGTGTGTCTGCCTTTTTTGCCCGGGCAAAGCCGGGTACTAACCACTAGTATGTTAATAAGGGGTCATTGTCTAAGAAAAAAAATGGTGAGGAAAAGGTTTCATGTATGTTGGTAGGCCGATAAGTAAGTACCTAAGAGGTAAATTCCACATGGCATTGACAAGCTGTAAAGGATTTTATCTTGACAGGTACTAGGAAAAGAATCCTAACCATTTCTGGTCAGTAAAATGTGAAGCAT